TGAGCTCTGTAGTAAGCATTAGACTGTGGAAGCTCAATAGCTGTTCCTTCAGTAACAAGCCTTCATTAACAAACAGAGGATGTCCTGCTTCATCACTCAGTCTGCATACTGCTGGAAATTGCATAAAGTTAGAAAAAGAAACATATAAATTGGAGAAAAACACTTTTTTTGTGATGTTCTGTCAGGTCTTGGGATAACTGCTGAGTGAATAAGCAAGGATAGGAGAGACATAGATCCTACCTTCAAGAAGTTTGACATGTGAGATTGACAATAAAACGGTATTATATGACAACATGACAAAGCAGGACAAACCTAGGCTAGTTGGTGGTATAGAAGCAGTTAAGGAAGACTTACAGGAGGAGGTGACTTTTCTTTTTTTTTTTTTTTTTAAAGATTTTATTTATTTATGCATATAGAACCAGGGTACAGGCCAGAGATACGGAGGGTGAGAGGCTTCACCAGAGACAGAGTGGGGAGCAGAACAGGCAGATTGATGAAGTACAGTGCTGAGGGGAGCAGCAGGTGGCTCAGGAGAGGTCTGCCGCGCCATGTGGTCACCTCCGGGGCAGGCGGGAATCGAACTCATGCGTAAGTGGCTTCAGCTTCTCAGTGCAGCGCTTTAACCCGCTGCGCCACCAGGGAGGGCCAGAGGTGACTTTTAATCCAAATTTTTAAAAATATTTATTTATGCATATAGAACTGGGGTACAGGCCAGAGGTACAGGAGTGGTGAGAGAATTCACCAGAGACAGTGGGGAGCAGAACAGGCAAATCAACAAAGTACACTGCTGAGGGGAGCAGCAGGTAGGTGAGGAGAGGTCTGCCACGCCATGTGGGTCACCTCTGGGGCAGGGATCTAACTCATGCTGAAGTGACTTTAGCTTCTTAGTGTTGTGCTATAACCCGCTGTGCCACCAGGGAGGGCTCTAATCTGAGTTTTTTAAGGATATATGTAATAGGTCCTCTCTGCATGGCAGGGGAAGGACAATGGACTGAGGGGCTTGGAAGAAGAGTCCCCCAAACAGCAGGGAAGCATGTTCAAGAACTTTTATCTAGAGACAAGAAAGAGTAGGTAGTTCAGCATGACTAGACTATAGGGTAAGGTTGGCAGGGGCCCTCTCCTGCATGCCCTTACAGCTCCTGGTAGAATTTACATTTTACCTTCAAAGCACTGGGTGCCAACTGTAGGGTTTTTTTTTTTTTTTAAGATTTATTTATTTATTCATACAGAACTGGGGTACAGGCCAGAGATGCGGAGGGTGAGAGGCTTCACCAGAGACAGAGTGGGAGTGCAGAACAGGCAGAGCAACGAAGTACACTGCTGAGGGGAGCAGCGGGTGGGTCAGGAGAGGTCTGCTGCGCCATGTGGTCACCTCCAGGGCAGGCGGGGATCGAACCCTTGCGGAAGTGGCTTAAGCTTCTTAGTGCAGTTTTAACCCGCTGCGCCACCAGGAAGGGCCCAACTTCGGGTTTTAATCAAGGCCATGCCTTTTTCAAATCTGCCTCTGAGGATTCCTTTTGCTGCAGCAGGTAGATAGGACTGAAGGAGGCTGACTGGGAGCTAAGAAGAGGGTTCAGGCAAGGAGAACCCTAATGAATAATGGCAGAAGGCGAGGAGGAAAGAGGTTGGGCTGGGGATATCAAGTAGACAGAAGCAATGGAGCTTCTTAGCAATTGGATGGAAGGTAAGAGCTATATAATTTCCTAAGTTTCTCTATCAGGCAACTAGAGAAATTTACCCTTTAAAATAGCTTTAGGGAAACAGGAAACATTCCTTATAGGAATATTGGAATATTTAATTGGAATAATATATTAACAAATCTAATTTTTAAAATGAATATAAATACTAGCATTAACCCATTGTCTGCCAGGGAAAGATGGGATCCCTTAGTTAATATTTCCTGAATAAAGAAAAACTACCAAGGCCATCTGGGATCTACCAAGGGATCTGGGCGTGATCTTGTGGACTCTAGTAACTAAATAGGCCAATAAAAAGCTAGGAGAGTGTGGAGGGTTAAGGAGTGAGGGTTAAAGCACAGCACTAGGAAGCTAGCCAGAGCAGCCGTTTCAGCAAGTTCAACCCCTGGCCAGGCGGATGACCCACATGGCACAGCAGACCTCTCCAATCTCGCCTGCTGCTCCCCTCAGCAGTGTATTTCAGCAGTCTCTCTGTTCAGCTCCCCATTCTGTCTCTGGTGAATCCTCTCACTCCCCCCACCTCTGGCCTACACCCAGTTCTATATACATAAGTAAACAAATCTTTAAAAAAAAAAAGCTAGGGGAAGAATTACAACCAACCCAAACCCTTCATCCATGTCTTCAATCAACATTTGCTAAGCTCTTATTTTGGATAAGGGTCTGTGTTAGAAGGCAGAGATATGAAGGTAAACGTCACAATGCCTGCCCTCAAGGAGTTTCCAGTTTAGCTTATTATCTTTGCTTTGGTGTGCTGAAACTTGAAGCCAAGTTCACCGTTCTGCTCTCAAGGAAATGGCAGGTAGTACAGTGCAGCTGTCAAGCTACGGTGATTGTACTCATACACTTTTTCTAGGAAGTCAGGCAGCAAGAGCCATGTCCCTACTCTCTTGATTGCTTGGGAATTTGTTTGGAGGGAATTTGTTTGAATGCTATGTAAAACAGGGACAAGGATTTATGTGAGGGGTGTTCATTGCTGTTCTAATGAAAGAGAGGACACAACCTAAACTTCTAACAATGAAGAAATGGTAAAATAATTGAGGCTACATCCCTATGATGGGCTATGAGGTAGTAATCAGAAATGGCATTAAAAAAAAAAAATCCCTTACTGACATTGCAAACAACCAAACTGGGTTTTTCCGCAGGCTCTGGAAAAGCCAAACTCTGAATCATGCTAATTGTCTATACATAAAGGAGTTTTATTTGAGATGGCCATTAGGTCAGCAGGATAGCCACGCCAAAGCAACTGGCTCCCTGAATGGCAGGAGTGTAGGGATTTTATGAGGGGCCAAGGAATGTGAGCCCATGGAGGTGCTGGACAGTATAGGTGACAAGACCTTCAAGTATAGGTCAAGGTGTGTGACTTTCCCAGAAGGGTGTGTTCTCAGAAATTAGCAAATGTTTGCTTCTGATGCCACTATCAACTCAGAAAGACTGAGAATCTTATTAGGGGTCTAATACAAGTTTCCAAGTCCCCAGGAGTGGGGTTAACCCTAAGGAAGAAGTAAGGGGTGCAATTTAGTGAATTAACAGTCCTGAAGATGGAAGGCAAGAGAGTGATTAAAGTTCACTTTCACTTATTCTTAATTCTAGTCTAGGCGCGTTTTTTGTTGCAAAGTGGGGGAAATCCCATTACAACATGGGGGAGGGGGAGAAGACTGGAAAACCTGTGATATACATCTCTACAGAATTTGCTGAAAGATATCTATTTCTGATTTTGTTTTTACTCTGTATTTTCAAGTCTTTGACAATGTGCATGTTATAGTATTTCTACAGTCAGGGCTTTTTTTCTTCCTTTCTTTTACAGACATAATGGCAAAGGAAAACAACTAGAAAGATAACCAAAATGACCAAGATTTTGGAAGTTCTGTTACAAAAGGACTGACCAAAATTAACTGAAATCCCAAGGTAAAGTGGCAAAGGTTGAGTCAAATGTCACTAACAGTAGTTGCAGTACAACTGGCTGTATGCCAGGTGCCAAGTAGGTTTATCATTTCTATTTTTCAGGGGTAAATACATGATTAATTGAGATATATGAAGTACTTACCTGGAGCATCTGTTTGCCACCCACAATATATACTCCTCGCTTACTGCCAGAAACAAGGGTGCCTTGTGATTTGCAGTGTGTGTGTATCTACACACACACGCGCGTTTTTGTTTCATTTGTGTCCCTCATGAGGAATTTTTGCACTCATAAAGTACCACAGGATTAGCAGTTACTTCTAAAGGACTATTTGCTCCAGTTCCTAAGACTTCGAGTTTGTGGATGTCAATGCAATCTGCAGCCCCCTCCGCAGCCGCGTCCGCGCAGCGGCTAATCCCAGGCATCTCAGGTTTCCCTCTCCTTTGCGTTTAACTGCATCCCACTTTTTCCTGCGGCCCTCACCCCTCATTCCCTCCCGGATGGATGGGTCAGGCCACTCGGGCGGTCTGACCTTGGGTCATCCTCAGCCGCGGACTCTCGGCATGACCTTGGGCAAATCCCCACTTCCCCTTCGCGGGGCCGCGCGGCCGAAGAGCCGGGTGTCCGCCTCAGCTGCTCCTCGGCCGCCCGAGGCAGAGCTCGCCCTCCTTTCTCTCGGGCTTCCACCGCGCGCGCCCCACGGTCCCCAGCCCTACGCTCCCGGCGTAGCGGCCGCTTCCAATCGAGCGACCCTCTCATTCCGGGCGCTCGTTTACGCCGCGCGGACAGGGAGGGCGCGATTCCCGAACGCTGGCTGCGCCGCGAGCGTGCAGCTGTCAGGCAGGCCGGCGCGGCCTTACGCCGCTGACGCAGCGCGCCCAAGATGGCGGCGCGGTCGTCGTCGGGGGTGGCGGCGGCAGA